ATCTGGTAACATCTGGAGACCTTTTTGGTTGTCACAATATGGACAGGCAGGAAGGGGGAGACTAGTAATGACATCTAGAATCATGATGCTGCTAAATATCCTACAAGGGCAGGAGAGCCCCACCCCCCCAAAAAAAAACTATCCGGTCCAAAATATTAATAGCACTGAGGCTGAGAAACCCTGCCCTAGACTGTCCCCAGGCCATTCCTGAAACCATCTGCACAAACCAGAACAAACCTACCTGAAATAAACAGTTACCCTGTCACAAAAGTGCACTTATTCTAGTGGGCAACTCAGGTTTCCTCATTGTCCAAAAGTAAAATGCTTCTATGAAACCTTTCATAAGGCAAAATGGCATAAAGCAAGCTAGTAATTACCTTAATGTAGATGGAAAGTTTTTTGAACATTTCCAATCTCCAAAATAACCTACCAAATCATATAAAATACACATAAAACCTAAAATCACATTAATCTATAGTAAAGGCAGGAACAATATGATACATACAGAGTCTGTACAAAGCAGTTCTGGAGGAAGCAGTGCCCCTCTCACTTTCAGGGTGCTCACAGCCTGCAGAATGACTGGGGTAAAACCGAGGCTGAACACCGTTTTCACTCCAAAAGTGAAAATCCTCTTTGGATTTCTTCTGGTTAGCAAAATAGGCACTAATGCAGGTCTTTGGTAAAAGCAAAGAAGCTTAACATGAATTTTCAAAAATCAGGGAATACCTGTATTGAACAGCAAGCAAATGATGTCAAATGATGTGACAAGCAAATGGTGCATCTTCAAAGTTCCTGGCTGCTCTCCTAGCCAACATTTTTAAGGACACTCTTCAGCATCCGAGAGGACAGATTCTTTTACAATTACAATTAAAGAAAGGCACTTATGTGTGCACATGTGCGTGCGTGTACACACACACACACACATTCTTACTCTTAAAAAAAATCTCCCTTGTTGTCAAGTAAAGGCACTGCTGCATGGCTAAACTGACCCAAGCATTTCTAGAATATTTCATATAGAAAAAGAAGGAAAGAAAATAAACAAGAAAACTCCACAACCCAAAATAGACATGTCCCCAGGGCTACCTCACAGCTAAAAAGAGTTCCATCACTCTGAATCATATCAATGTGTATGAATCTTTTATTTTTCAATAGTAAAATGCAATAAATATATAAGAAAAGGGGAAAATATAAATATTAAGCTTCATGAAAGAAAATAAAGCCCCATGTGACCACAACTCAGATCTAGAAATCAACGCTTGGCCTGCGGCATCTTGCCACCAAGACTGCCTGCTCTCCAGGTAGCAAAAGACATGTGCTATATTGAAAAGTTCCATTTTTTACTCAATAAATGCCATTTATGGGGCCTCCTTGGTGGCCTAGGGGTTCAGTCTCTGTGCTATTACCTTGAAGGCCCACTGCAACTGCCTGAGTTTGATGCCCAGCCAGGGAGCTACCCACATGACGAGGCAGACCTCTTCTGTCTCACCTGCTGCTCCCCTCAGCAGTGTATTTCAGTAGATCTGCCTGTTCTGCTCCCCATTCTGTCTCTGGTGAATCCTCCCACCTCCTGCACCTCTGGCTTATACCCTAGTTCTTCTATGCAAAAATAAATAAAATCCTTTTTTAAAAATGCCATTTATGTATTTACCATGACCACCAATTGCTGAACAAGTTCAGAGCAGAATCAAAAAGGGAGCAGATTTGTTTCTGGAAAGGATCTCTTTGACTTAAGTTAATTCATAAAAGCATCTGGGAGGAAGGGCATGGACATGTTGCGCAAGGTGGCTAGAAAGAGCAGGAAAGGCAAAGAGAAACTGGAGTGAGAATCCAGGCTTCCATCCCTACTCCAGCACCCTGGGTCTGAATGCTCATGCACCATCACACCACTTCCTGCCACAGATGTCACTGGAAAAATTCAACAAGACTGTGAGCTTGTCAGCGTCAAGCAGAGTATCTCACCGACAGACGATCCACAAATAGCACCTGCCCTCTTGTCCTCCTGCCCATGCAGACAGGCAAGGGACAGAGGTCAAATCTTTAATATGAGATTATTTGATTATAAACTCCTAATCCCTTAAATCTCTAAACTGTTTTTACCAAGGTGAGGAGCCAAGTCCACTCTCAACTGGCCCTAGCGACTTTGGCAAAAAGGAATCCTGGAGGTGCAGAAATCACCACCCGGCCCTGGAGGCCACACTCTCCCAAGTGGCCTAAGTGGGCTGTCAGGAATAACACATCATACCCCAGCAGGGAGCCTCGGTGCATCTCTTTGAAGATGAAGAGCAACAAGGTGTGTTTATTTGTACTCAGTGTGCACAGTCATCTCCTGGGCTGGGCTGGGTTGCATGAAACTACCCAGCTAGCTAAAAAATAAAATAAAATCTACCGGCTCATCCCATTAAGCGGATCTTTCCAGGAGAAAAGGTCACTACCCATGCTCTTGGGAGTACACAGGGGGGAGATGAAGCTTCTGCCTGACAGAAGAGAATGCCAGGGGGTCCAGGGAAAGGTCAGCCAGGAGGAGGAGGTGTGAGATTGGCCACCCATCCGCCATGGCACCATCCCACTGTCTCGCCCACCAAGTCCACCGCCTGAAAGAAAACGGAGCATCAGAGGGCATGATTGGGGCTGAATCCTCACAGATACATTAAAAAATAATAACAGCCAAAATCAATGCTTCGGTTCCCTAACGCAAACACTAAAAACAAAGGAAGAAAAATTAAAAACACACATGAAGGTGTCTGAGAAGGTTCCTGAATAACAAAGGACTCTAAAGGCTCTTGGAATGTCAGCAGCCTTCTAGTCCTACAAAGACCAGGAACTCAGAGGAGGGCTCAACTTTGACCCCACATTTCTTCAAAGACTATTAAAGGGACAGAAATCCAAAGGAAAGGCTTTTATAATGTCTCTTGTTTTATCGACTTCCCAGAAAAGGATGGAGGTGTGGAATGTGGGATAGAAGGGTTGGGTGTCCAGTCCCGCTATGAACCCCAAACTGAACCACAGCCTGGGATCCCTGGGACACCCTGCTGGCATCAGGAAAACCAACCAACCGGCCACCGTTTCTGGTAACACTTCCGTCAAAGTGGAATCCACATTGGAAGAATGATGCTTCACGCAACATGAAAAATGCACACACCCCAGCCTGCTAGAGGTTTGGAAACAGACAACTATAAAGGGGATTCCAAAGGCGCACAGACTCTGTGCCCACAGACAGTGGGAAATCGCCACCTGGGATGGTTAGGCAGTTCTGTGACACCCCAAACCTCAATCCCCACTAGGACTATTTAGGACTATTTGATTTACCTTAGCTCTATTTTCTAAGTAGATACACAAATATAAATAGCCAGTGTTGACCTGAAAAAGACAAAACTAACTACAGCCATTTTTACAAAGAGGAAGACTCAACCAAAGCAGCCAACGGGGGATGGGGGGGTATGTAAGGGTGTGCCATGAGCAGCAGGGCCATGAGCAGCAGTAAGGACACACACAAGCCCCCTTCCATGCCACAGCCATGCAAATAGGGAGTGTGAATCCAGGCAGGTCTCTGTGTCTGACTTGTCCTGGTAATCTGCCTGTTGAAACAGCCTCCAAATAATCAATCATTCACACCTCCCCACAGCTGCCAGTGCCCCTTTGGAACTCTCCCCAGGGTGGCCCAATAGTTCAGAAGAAACAAGGCTCTTTGACCCAGAGCTGGTTAAAAATGCACAGCAGCCACCAGCATTCCACCCTCAGTGGAAGCCACAGAAAACCCACAGACATCTAAAGGAGTTTCAGAGGCCTGGGATGATGTCATAGGTCTGAGAGCAGGGGAAGGCTGCCCAGTGGAATCTGAGGTTGGCCAGGACCAGGGACCTCAAGGAAAGGGGGCGATTTCTCTTTCCAAGAGCATACCTGGGGAGCAAGGAAGGAGGGGCACAGATCAGAATGAAGTGAGTCTCAAACTCCCCCCAACAAACACCCCACCAAAGACAACTCCACAGCAAGCAGCTAGAGGAGCATTTGGGGAAATCAGGAATAAATTAGACATGTGAATGACACAGACGTCAGGAAAGCAAGGTTCTTCTGGAGAAAGTTCAGTGGACACTGTTACCCACTTTCTGGGCATCAGCTGCCCAGAAATAAATATCAGGGGGCCAGGCCGGGCAGGCCGAGTCCAGGAGGGGCAGCTGACAGCTGTGGCCGCGGGCAGAATCAGGGCAGGGAAGGGCTCCCTGGCTGGAATTCGGAGCGTGCCCACATCAGCAGAAAAGTTCCTGGGAGCAGCACGCTGCCTGGGAGAAGAGGCTTGCTACTCTGGGATGCACTCCCTAAGGTGATGCAGGTTCAAAGAGTCACCATGAAGAAGCCAGGGTGCTCCCCCCTGGCACCTGGCTGGTCACGGCGCGAGTGGGGGCGCTCAGATGACTGAAATGCTCTGCGCCCAGGCTCCATGGGACAGTAAAAATCTCAGGTACGGCCCTGTTTCATCACCCTTTGCTCAAACCAAGCACAGTCCCAGATAGGAGCGTCAGGAAATCATGGTACCCCTCGCCTGCTGTCCAGGTGGGGAGACCTGAAGGGGCATGCCAGAGACCCGGGAGGCCTGGGGAGGCTCCCGCAGCACCCAGCACCCGGAGTTCTGGGAAGATGGGATCAGGGAGAGTTCTCTCCAAGCCCTCCACTCTCCCTTTTCCTAACACACTTAACACACTCACACAGACACACTCGAGCTACGCCCAATCGGGGCAGCTACCGGGCTCCCCAGAGCCCGGCTGCACAAAAAGCCCCGCCCGCGCGCACACAACACAGCACCAGCCGGCGCGCACGCCCACACAATGGGACGACGCGCACCCCGCCGCGGCCCCTCGCGGGGTCCCGGCCAGCCCGGCGCCACGGTCCGCCCTCCGTGCACACCCGCGCCGGAGACGCAGACGGGGCGCGGGAGGGGGTGCGATCGCCGGCCGGCCGCCGCGCCCCGCGCCCCGCAGGAAGTTCTCCCGAGCCCCCCGACTCACCCGCGGCGCTGCTCAGCAGCAGGCACAGCGGCCCCAGCAGCCACATGGCGCGGCCGCTGCTCCTGCTGCCCGGCGCCGGCGCTGCCCCCGCGGCCTTGGCGCTGACCCCGCCCCTCGCCGCGCCGGCCCCCCCCCCCAGGCCCGCCCCCCGCCCCCCCGAACCCCCGCCCCGCCCCGCCCGCACCGGCCCGGCCGCGCCTGGCAAAGTTCTGCAAGCTCCGGGCTGCGCGCCCTCGCCCGCGCCCTGTCCCTGCGGTCCCGGCTTGGAGAGGCCGCCCCGGGGGCCGAGGACCCGCTGGCCTCGCCGGGCTCTCGCCAGGGGCGCTGAACAGCCCAGGCTCTGTTCTCTGCCTGCTTTCTCTTTTTCCTCCTGCCTGTTCTGCTCCATCCTCCCAAGGATGGGGTGCTCGGCACCTCCCAGACCCAAACGCAAGGGTTTTTTTTTATTTTTTATTATGTTTTTAATATTTTATTTTATATAATGCATGCATCATTTTTTATTTTTGCACAATGTATGCATTTTCGTTTTGGTTGTATTCCCCATACGATTGCACCCCCCTTTATTGGGACCCTGATCCTTCCTCGCCCCGCTCCCTTCCCCCTCTATAGTGTGTCTCTGGTTTATAGTTGCTTGTTGATTTTGATTTTTTTCTTTGTTTTAGTTAGTCTTTTTTCCTGGTCTCTTATTTAGGTTTTCTAAATTGCTGCTGTGAGTGAGGCGGGATCAAGAAGATGTGGTATATATACACCATGGAATATTACTCAGCAATCAAAAAAGATAAACTCATGCAATTTGCAGCAACATGGATGGAGCTGGAAGGGATCATGCTCAGCAAAATAAGCCAGAAAGAAAAAGAAAAATACCGGATGGTCCCAAACAAGCGTTTTTAACGGAGCTGCAAATGAGTTTACTCCAGGGATCGAGGGGGAAAGTTGGAATAAAGCCAAATATCACGAGAAAATGTGTATCACATTTTACATAGCGAGGGGAAAATACTACCAGAGCTTCTCAAACACGCACTGACACACTTGGGGATCTTGTGAAGAGCTGACTGTGACTCAGCCTCAGGTGGGGCCTGAGATTCTGCTTTGCTAATACGCACCCAGTTGATCCCCAGAGAAATGGTGGGTCAAACGCATGTGGAGGAGGGAGTCTGAGACCTTCATGGTCCACAGAGTTGGTCTCGTGAGTTATTTCATCTGGGTCTTGTGTACCTAGCCCTGGAAATGGTTGGGCCCCAGTTTGTAAAAAAGAAAAGTAAAGGTACAGGCAGATGCCCAGAGGCAAAAAGAACAGCTGCTGCAATGCATTTGGGGCTTCCACACAGCACTGGGGAAAACTCTCAAAGGATTTCTATAGTGGAAGAACTGGTGACAGCGTTGTGCTCCACCCCCTCCTCCCTCAAAAAAAAAAAAAAAAGAAAAAGAATGCAAATAATGTCCAAAAACTGGAAAAAGCGCAAATAACCATCAGCTAGTGGGGGATAAACAAATGGTGTTATATCATTTAATGCAACAATATGAATGATTCTCATTGCATGTTAAGAGAAAGAATACAACCCCAAAAAGTACATTCTGTGTGAGTCCTTTTATAAGACAGGGCATGGAGAGAGCAAAACTGTTGGGACCAAATCAGATCCATCACTGCCAGGTCTGGGCCTGAGGGCTGGGGGTGAGTTCAAAGAGGCTTAAGAGAAGTTTGGCTGCAATGGGGTTGCTCCATATCTTGATGATGGTGGTGGTTACACACTGCTGACACTTGTCAGAATCTATGGATTTGTATCCCTGAAACCCACACCTAGAAAGGGTGATTTTTACTATATGTAAACTGGACCTGCTGGAGAAGTCAGGAGGGTGTGGGTGTTAGCACCGGTCAGGCAGATTGTAGAAGGAATGCCCGCACCACACCGGAGACAAGTTCCAGGATGCCGACAGTCAGTGGCTCTACTTTGTAATTGCCTGATCTCCTCTGGAAACACCACAGCTAAAGTGGATCAGGTCACCAAATACCAGTGAGGGTTCAAGGTAATGAGAAAATATGATTCAATGTAGGAAAGTATGGCAAGTTCCATATTACAGAGTAGTTTGTCAAGTATGGAAAATAGAAATAAATAAATTCTCTAAAAGATTTAGCATAGGGAGATATTTCTGTGGACTCCAGGGAGTTCTAAGCACCCTAAAATTTTATGCACATTTCAGGTGTATGTGGGTATGGGCATTTTTTCCAGGAAACCTGTTAGAGGGAGGCCCCTGGCTTTTGATAATGATACCTAAGGAGGCAAATTAGTTCTCCCATAGTAGCTGTTTATTTGCCTGCAAACATCAGGAAAATGGAAGGACAATGGATCTGACAATACTGCTATCATCTTTGTTTGCTTAGGCACATGAACTCTGGCAGTGCCTTACTGTGTCTGGCTTCTTACTCTCTGCTTGCTTCTCTCTCTCTCTCTCTCTCTCTCTCTCTCTCTCTCTCTCTCTCTCTCATACACACACACACACACACACACACACACACACTGCTTTTAAATATATGAATGTTTTTAAATATATGAATGTCTGGAAAAATTTGGACGAATGTGCAGCCCTCTTTAAATTCACTTGTTTTTATACTTACACTGAATCACTCCCAACGTCCTCACCCTGTAAGCAGGGCAGGAGAGCAAACCATTCTTCATTGCTCTCTTTTTCCCCTGGCACTTTAGAATGCCATCAAAAGCACAGGACACTCAGTTTCCAGAAAATGTGATAGGTTCCAGTGTTAATTGTTTAAATCACAGGAAGGCAGTCACAAATCTTTTTTATGGAGGGTTTAATAAAACGCAAAAACTTATTTTATGGCACTTATTTACCAAAAGTAAGACAGTGAATTTGGGTGGGTGCTTCTGACATGGCTTTGCATTGCCGAAGGATGAAAGAAAGTACTTTGTTTTTCTGTGATCCTTGCTGTAATGCTCGTAGTTTCCACACATTTCTCATTTACTAGTCACAGGAACCCCACTAGCGCCACAAGTCAAAATAGCACAAGCTGGGCTTGCCCTCAGATCTGTGTAAGATGTGTTTCAGTGCTCTTTTCACTTGCCAAGCATTAGCTGTGTGGCCTTGGGCAAGTTATCAGCCTCTTGAGCCTTAGTTCCCTTGTCTGTGAAATGGGGATCCTATGAGCACCTGGCTCTTAGTGGTGCTATCAGGATTCAATGAGCTAATGTGTGTAAACTCTCTGACACAGGAAAAGTTAGCTGTGGTTGTGGCCATGCATGGGGTTCCTATCACAAGACAGCTGTTGTAGTAGCCAGTCTCCAGGATGGCTCTGGAAGATTATTCTTTTCTGGGATCCATAATAGGGTCCCCTCTCACACTGAATACGGGCAACCTGTGTGACCAATGAAGCATGTGGAAGCGACATTGGGTCACAAGGACATTGCAGTTTCTTCCTTGCTCTCTTAGAGCCCTCTCTCGGAAGGATGGCAGCACCATGTTGTGAGGACATTCAGCACCCCTGTGGGTAGGCCACACTGGAAGGAATTGAGCTTTCTACCAACTTGCCAGCCATTGGAACGAACCATGTTGGAAGCAGAAATCCAGCCCCCAATCAAGACATCAGATGACTGTAGACTCAACCTACCTCTGACTGGCCTTTGTGAGAAATCCTGAGCTGGAACCACCCAGTCACTCCCAGATTCCTGATGCACAGAAACCGTCAGAGATAATAAATGTTTATTGTTGTTTGAAGTGATTAACTTTCAGGGTAATTCACTATGTGGCAATATATAACTAGAATGTCTGCCTTTAAGGTCATGCACAGGATTAACTTGATGCTCCTATAGGACATCTTTAATGAGTTGAAACATAGAAAACACATAGAATTTTACCCAGTATATGACATGGTGGTGGAAGATTTATGGGGACCACGCCTGAGGGGAGAGATCAAATATTACACAAAAATGAATAACAGTGTAAGAAAATAAAGTTTACTCCAAAAATAAAATAAATTTAGTGCCTCCCTGGTGGCGCAAGGGGTTAAGCACCACACTATGAAGCAATCCACAACCTCTGCAGCACGAGTTCGATCCCCGGCTGACCAGGGAGCAACCCACGTGGCGCAGGAGACCTCTCCTATCTCGCCCATTGCTCCTCTCTCTCAGCAGTGTGTTTCAGTACATCTGCCTGTTCTGCTCCCCACTCTGTCTCTGATGAATCCTTTCACCCCACACACCTCTGGCCTGTACCCCAGCTCTTGTATGCATAAATAAATAAATATTTTTAAATTTTTTTAAAAATTAAAGAAAAAGAATTTTCCCCAGTACATAGTAAGCACTCGACATTATTGCTGCCGTTATCATAGTTCATTTTTTAAATTATTGACATTCTCATTACCTTTCTGTCTCTCAATCTCACTTGTCAGCTGCCATCTTGTGAACTGCCCACATAAGTGAGCTTGGAAAGAGATCCTCTTCCCCCAATTATGCCTTCAGATGAGACCACAGCCCTAGCTGATGGCTTCACTGCAACCTCGTGACAGACCTGGAGGCAGAAATACCCAACTGAGCTGTGCCCAGATTCTTGACCCAAAAACCTACAAGATTATAATTTTGCTGTTGTCAGTCACTATACGTTGAGTTTATTTACTACACAGCAATAGAGATCTAAAATTTTTACCTTAAATATTGAGTGTATAAACACTTAACATCATTGAATCTCACCTGTTAGTTAGCATGAGAGAGGCAGTGTAAGAGAATGATTATTAATCAAGTACCTGCTTCAGACATTATACATTTATGATCACATTTATCTTCACAACAATCTCTCACTTAGATATATGAACCCCTTTATACAGAGGAATCTGAGGTACAGGATATTTAAGTGACTGGCTCCAAATAATGCAGGAAATAATTGAGATTTGAAGTCAGATACTCTTGATTCCAAATATTCCCACAGCATCATACTGAACCTTGCTACCTTCAAAAGCAAAACAACTTTCAATTCATAAAAAATAGAATATATTTGCAACTTGAAATATAATGTGTTCCCAGGGTTTGGGGCTCGAAAGGTAGAGATGCTCAGCATATCAAATAG